TTGGAGCTCCGCTGCCACTGTTCTCCCTAGCCCCAAACACCGCTACCCCTGTCCGTGGAAAAACTGTCTTCCATGAAACTTAGGAAAGAGGCAGGGCACACAGAAGGACGTGAGATGAGGGCAAGCAAGGGAAGTTTCGTCTGTACTGAGAGCCGCTCCTCATCCCCTGCATCACTATGTGAGCTCTGCCCTCCTCCCCCCTGGAAAAACTGTCTTCCATGAAACTGGCCCCTGGTGCCGAAAAACCTGAGGACCACTGGCTGTGAGGTCTCAAAGGGATGGAGCTAACAACTGAAACTGACACAGGGATCAAATAGGAGGTGCTGTTTTTCATATCTGGTATGGAATTGTTCCCATCAAGAAATAGAAAAGATTTCACAATAGCAGTGCTAGCTTACATTTGTTACAAATTATTTAAAATGTAATTGACAGCAGCAGATGATATTGTTGTTCTCTAGGCAGAGTGAGAAACATAAAACTCTCATGTGATAAAATCCAAAGTGTGAGTACCACCAGAATACAGAATGAGGTAGCTTGGTTTACTATAGAGAGGGGAAATCCACATGACCTTATTTTCTGGATCCTTAACATTCACCAAGATTCAGCCATATTATGAAGATCTTTCATGTCTATTCTGTGTGTGCAAGATGATTTGGGGTCCTATGAGACCTACTGGAAAATAATCTCCCTTCCCAAGTTTACCATAATAAAATACTGCTATTCTTATGACCCAAACTGACCATCACCAGGATAATTTCTTTGGGCTCAACCACAAATATAGGAGTATTGTCACTATGTACACTATTAAAATGTCCATGTAAATTCTGGGGAAAGGAAAGTACTCTGGGGAATATCTTTAATCCTTTTTATTCCCATAGACACATGAATTCAAGGTAGCTTGGAAGTTGCAGGTATCCTGATAAACTGAACTCTGAGTCTGGCAGCATTCAGCAGTGGGTGAAAACAGAGGAAGACTCAGGGAGGAGCCAGAGGCAGAGTTCAGTGATTGGAGGCCTAGACAATAGGCTGCAAGCCTCTTTAGGGCCAAGGCCTCCGCTTACTCACCTCTGTGTCCTCAAGGTCCTACACTTAATTAGTGTACAATGAATGCATGAACAACTGCTGAACAGACTAACATGAGAAGTATTCCCTACTGTAGGGAGAGAGATGGTGGGATGAAAAATAGTAAGTTGCAGCAAACAGGAATAAGGTGACCAGTTGTACACTTATCTTACTTTCAGGGTTAAATATTCAGAAGGAAACCAGGATCCAGAAACAACTTCTGAGAAAGTTTTGGCTTTTCTATAGAACCAAAAAGCTATAGAACCCACAGCTAGAGGAGCAAAGAGAAGAATAAATGTATGGCCAAGGAAAAAAGTGTTCAAAGAGATTCTTTCTTCTGAACAAGAGGGTCCTATCCCTACTTATGAACAGTCTTGATTTTACATATTTGCTCTCTAATCATCTTCAAATGGCATAAAATCTATATTTCTAAGTAAAATATGAGGCTTGTGTCTTTATGGTTAGGAAAACACACAAGGCAAAAGCACGTGATTATGACAGTAATCCAAAGGATTATGTTTATTTGCAGTTAGTTGATTTTGTGTATGCATATCTACTTGTCTACATATGGGTTATGTGTGTCTATTTCTATCAAACAATTTTACAGAAAGCATTTGGGTCATGATTGAAATTAGTTTTTGCCTCCCTTTTAGCCTAAAGCGTAGGTGTGTATGCGTTAGCATTTGATTCCATATGTGTGATATTGTTTTCTATGGGAGAATGTTTGTGCAAGTATGTTTTATCTGAACTTTGATTTTAACTGTATTTGGAAAAGTTTGCTTTTGGAGCCTGTGTAGTGCTCTGAGATCATCTCTTTGTGATGGTACTCAGAGCTGATAGTAAATGGCTCTGTGTTTGACATTTCTTTTTAGCAGTACAGACGAGTAAAGTTACACCTGTGTATGTGGGATATTATTTTGACTAGAGAAAAAGAAGGAAGAGACAGAAATAGGCAAACATCTGCAAATTTTCTCTTGGTTGAGAAATTTTCTCTTGGTTCTCTCATTTGAGTTTGTCGTTCAACATGTGGACAAATCTATAGCCTTCCAAGTGGCAGTAGAGTGATTGTTTTGCCTACATATTTAGCTATATTTTGTCTTTTCCTTTTGTTCCAAATGTTCTTCAAAAATTATCTGAGCCAGTAGATTCCTAACTTAATTTTCTCCATTTCCGTAATGCTTCCTCGCTTGGCAAATCAGGAAGGAGGCAAAAGGTACACCCTTCTGTAAAGTCTAGGCTCTGAATCCCAAGTACTTATTTATAGAGTATGGATCAATTTCCTTACCTTCCACTAGTGTCTGAAATGACTCCCTTAGCCTAACAAATTTACAAATTTATTACTGGGCATATATATATAAATTTTATATGTTATGTATAGGTTTACATATGTATATGTATGATGTATATATAATACATAATAGTATATATGTATTTACATATAAACTTTATATATGTACACTTGTACATATATAAAGTACATATATATACATACATATGTATATATGTACATATATATAACTATATATAAATTTATGTGTGTATACACACACACACACACACACCTCTATTGTGATAAGAACATTTAACATGAGCTCTACCCTCCTAATACATTTTTAAGTGTATTATTGTTGACTATTGTTGTTGACTATAAGTACAATGTTATACATCACATCTCTAGAGCTTATTAATCTTGCTTAACTAAAACTTTTTGCCCATTGATACAGTAACTCCCCTTCCTCCGGTCCTATCGGCTCCTGGTAACCACCATTCCACTCTTTGATTCTATAAATTCAACTATTTTAGATACCTCATATAAGGAAATCATGCAATATTTGTCTTTCTATGATGATTTCACTTAGCATGATGTCCTCAAAGGTTATCCATGTTGGTATTCTTGGGCGTATTTTTTAAAAATAAGATTAAAAAATTAAAATGTGAAAAAATCTAGCCAGGTGTGGTGGCTCATGCCTCTAATCCCAGTACTTTCAGAGGAGGGTGCCAGAGGATCTCTTGAGGCCAAGAGTTTGAGACTAGCCTGGACAATATAGTGAGACACCCTGTCTCAAAAAAAAAAAAAAAAAAAAAGGAAGTAAAAGAAAAGCTCTATCCTAAGGAAACACAATGAAATCCAAAGATAAAACATGCCAGTGGTTCATTAAGTTTTAATCTCTGGCTGTGCCTTAAAAACAACAACTTGGTGAAAAGGAAGAATTTCAAGCCAAAGAGACTCACAGGTCAGGACAGAGAAATTTGTAAAACTGGAGCTGTCTCGGAAAGACTAGCTCCAAATACACGCGTTAGAACTCGGCCTTGTTCGGAGGAAAATAAAGGAATCACTAACGTTCTCACTTAGCTACAAGTTAAACTTGTGTCCCCAGACATGGCTGGTGTGTGCCAGGATCGGAGTGGAAGCTGAGGAACCTGGGTCCAAGATTTAAAAAGGACACTGCTAGTCCCTCCCCTCGCTGCTAGCCGTCACTGCCGAACTCCAAGCTGCGGCTCCATGCTGCCCTTTCTCCGCTCCGGGACGTTGGCGCCTGCGAGGGAGACGTGCACCAACGTCGGGTCAGCCCCGTGCTCGGGAAGTCCGCGCTTGGCGGTCAGGCCTCTCCAGGCGCGGCGCTGCCCAGGACAGCTCGTCCCCGCGGCGCCCCGCGCTGCGCCCGCGCTTCCCGGTCCCTCCCGGAGCGGCTCCAAGCTTCGCCAAGCGGACGGCCCTGGGAGGCGGGACTGGCAGGGAAGGCTACCCTCGCAATTCCCAGGGGCTAGGGACAGGAGACGGAGGGTGGCAGGACCTCCAAGGCCCTCTGCGCCGCTCATTCCGGCCTGGGATTTCCTCTTTGCAGAGGGCGGCGTGGCGCGCAACGTCTCAGGCAAGCCCTGAGCGCCAGAGCCTGAGGCACACCCGGGCACCCCTTGCTCCCAGACCCTCAGCGACACGGGCGCTCTGGTGGGGGTCGGAGTGGAGAAGGAGGATAAAAGACCCAGACGCCTCCGGGGAGAACAGGCTCATCTTCCCCCTTTGGCCTCTTTTCTCCGTCCAAGGCCGCCAGCCGCACCGCCGGGCTCCCCGCGCACCTGCCGCGCCGGCTCCGCGCGCTCCCGGCCGGGCTGAGCCTGAACGTGGCCGCACGCCGAACGCGACGCCGACGCGCGGACGCTCCTTCTCCCCGGCTTCCCCGCGGAGTCAGGGCCGCGGAGGGGCGCCAGGCTCTCGGCGCGTGGGGCAGCTTGCCCGTCCGTGTCCACATCTGTCCCCTCCTGTTTCGAAAGGTCCCTCCGCCCGCTCGAGCGCTTGTCAGGAATTAGGAGCCCCCAGTCTCCTCTGGGGGCGAACCCACTTTCCATTCGTTGTGGGGTAGGGGAGTGGGAGGGCGAGGGGGGGAGCAGCACGAGGAACCGCGGCAGGGGGAGGGGAGGAGAGGGCAGGGGCGCGGGGTGAGAGAAGCATTTTCACTCTTTGTCACTCTGGAATTGGGGGCGGAGGGAAATAACCCCACTGTGGGAAGCTATAAAAAGCGAAGAGGGCGGGGGAGAGAGCAGAGAGCGCGGGAGCTCGCGCGGGGCGCAGTCCGCTCCCGGGCACAGCTGCGTCGCTGGCAGCGGCTGGTCGTCCAGTGTGACGCTTTGGGACAACTGTGATTGCGCGCGTGGGGGACTCGGCTCGCCTCAGCGCTCGAGGGTCAGATCCAGGGCAGCTCCTGATCCCTCGCTGTAGCGCCTGCTGACCTTGAAACGGCGCACTGTGCCCTGCAAAGGTGGAATCGCGAAGGGTAGAAAAGGAGAGGTGAGGAAAGCGACTGAGTCCGGAGGAGAAGACACCGGTGCGACCCCCTAAGCAGTCAGGAGGGGGCCTGACGCGCGGAGATCTCGGCGGGCCACCGCGGCGCAGGCAGGGAGCGGCGGAGCGGTGCGCCCCGCGGGCTGGGTCTTCTTGCACCTCGAGTCACGCCTCCTGGGCCAGAGGCGCCGCGCCTTTGGTCGCTGCCAGCTCCTGCCGAAGTCGCTGCCCTGCGGAGAAGCGGGTCTCGCCGGGGTCGCGCGAGCTGCTGGCCCGACGCGTAAGACTGAGTCCACAGGACCCTGGGGCTCAGAACCAGGAAGGGCTGCGGGAACAGAGTCTGCGTGCCCCCGCTCCCCGAGCGAGGGGCTCCGTGTCGGGGCCTCCCTCCCCTTGCACTCGCACCCTCCGGGCCGTGCGACCCCAGGACTCCTCGCCGGGAGATGGCCGCGTGGATGCGGGGCAAGGACCCGTCCCGCTGCCTGCTCCTCCTGGCCGCAGTGCTGATGGCGGAGAGCGCGCAGATCGGCAGCTCGCGGGCCAAACTCAACTCCATCAAGTCCTCTCTGGGCGGGGAAACGCCGGCGCAGGCCGCCAATCTATCCGCGGGCGCGTACCAAGGACTGGCTTTCGGCGGCAGTAAGAAGGGCAAGCACCTGGGGCAGGTAGGAAACGTCCCCACCCCCGTGTGCCCCTCGGCCGGAGCGGCGGGTGGGCCGCTCGCGCTGGCGCTCGCCCGCGCCGCACTCCGGGAGTGCGGCCCCAGGCGGGGCGCGGGCGGCCGGGGCGGGTCCCCGCGGCTGGGGCTGCGCGGCGCGGGCGCGGGCTTGGGGTCTGCCTCACCTTCGCTTCGGGGCGTGGGCACGCACCGGGCTTCGGTGCGCCCCCGGGGGAGAGTGGCCAGAGCGGCCTCCCGTCCAACACAGCGAGGAGCACGCCAATAGCGGCCAGCACTCGGCGACTGTGACGTGCCGCGACGGCGCTCGGCGCCCCCGGGACGCCGCAGTCCAGGCGCGCAGAGGCCGGCGGCGTGGCCGCCGCGCGGCGGTGGCGCCCTGGACGGTCGGCTCGGGCCCGGGGCTTAGCCGTTGCGGCTTGCGACCTGGGGCAGGATTTCCCCTCGGCGGAACCCGCCGTCTCGGCCACCGCCCCCCCCCGGCCACCGCCCCCCTTCAGAGAAGGGGGTGGCAGGCAGAGAACGACTCCAGCAGACACGCTCTTCTCACGTGGGGTCGTGAGTAAACCGAGACGCAAACTGACGGGGTGACAGTGACAGCGCAGTAGGTGCCCGAGACACCGAGCGAGGACGCTGGAGGCGCTCTTAAGGCCGGGAACTGTCCACAGGCGTCCCTGGCTGTGTCACACAGATGGTGCCGGTCACTTGCGAGCAGCTGCGCAGACAGACGCGCAGAGGCACGAGCGCGCAGCGGCCAGGAGAGGGGGCTCTGCGGGCGCGGGGCCCGCGACAGCCCCTCCCGCTTCTCGGGAGGCCGCGGCTGAGACGCATGGCGCACGTCGGCCGGCCCACGCCGCAGGCCCGAGCCCCGCGCCGGCTCCGGACCCGCCGCAGCTCCCGCGCCCTTGGGCGTCCGCGCTGCTCCGCAGGGCGAGGGGTGACGGCGAGGCCGGTCCGGCGGACGGCTGAGAGGACTCTGGCCCGCGCTTGGCCCCTACTGCCCGCTCACAGGGTGGACACTGCTGGTCTTGCGGTTCCAGAACGCTTCCCAGTGCTTTGAAATGGGAAATATTTCAGCTGTCCTTTTCAAAGGATCACAGGGGCTGCAATCAAAGAATTTTTTTTAAGGTCTCAAGGAAAATAAGACACAGGCATACAGTGTATGCATCGCCACCCGTTGCACACCCGCACACGCCACCCGCACACACGCGCACGCACGCAGCTCCGTGGTCACTCTCATTCCCTTCCCTCTCCCGGTGAGGCCCGCATTCTCCGGAGCGGCGGGCCTAAGCTGCTCCAGCCCCAGCCGCAGGGCCCTCTAATGCCACCGGCGGTTTAGGAGCGCTTACCGTGTAGCCACCCCAAGGAGGCGAGCACTGACTCAAAGATCTTCTGAGATTCCTTTCCATTCTCATCCATGAGTGTTTCGGGGTGTTCCTCTGTCAGTAATCAGTTGTGTAAGCACTATCACCAGCCAGTGTCACCCCCAGTAGGCCGCGGCAGTATCCCTGAACCGAGCTTGTTCTGTATGTTTGGCTAATATATCTGTATATAAGTGGGTATAACACATGCTTGCTTTGCCGCCCTTCCCAATATCTACTTCGTTATTAGCCACTTGCATCTCCTCAATTCAAGGATTGATTTATTTATTTGGCAAATGAGTTGAGTTTCTGATATGCCCTCCATAATTTAGCAGTTCTATGGAATATTTTTCATTATATTTACTTACCCGGAATACCAGATGGTTAAAATTTGATGATAGGCTTGTGAGCAAATTATAACATATTGGCGATAACAGCAAAACAAAACAAATATTGGGTTGCATAGCCGGATAGGTGGCAAATGGGATAATTTTATTTTGTAGATGATGCCTTTCACTTGTGTAGCAGATGATCTAAAAATGTGTGTTGTCGTGGAGAAACCAATAGAAAAATCTCTTTGGAGTAGAAAAAGGAATTCTTTGGCTACTTATGAGTCTCTTTATCTTTTTCTTTGTCTTCTTAATTCTACTAGTCATGTGGCCACCACCAAAATTCTTAGTACTCATATCTTCGGAAATGGAATGGAAATTAGAAATGTTATTCAAGGGAAGATGTTACTTTCTTTTATAGAGAAGATCTCTAGAATTGAAATGTAGCTGAGCTGAACATTTATCCATCGTAATAGCAAAATGTGGTTGTCAAGATTGAAGATGAAGTGCTAACTGGTCATGGAGGCAATTAGATCGTGTCACCCTGAAGCTTAATAGTTTGAGGCCCCTCTCCCTCGCCGCTTGACTGACAGTGCTGGAATAGGTGCCTTTCAGGGACACAGGAGCGAGAAACTTTAGGGCGCAGCTTCAAGCAGGTAGATTAGAAGCTTAGCCTTTGGTATGCTTTTTCTGAAATGGAAATTAAATAATTGTCTATTTTAATTTTTCAGGATAGAGAATTAAAATGAAAATTTTATTGCCATTGCAGAAGAAGTTCTTGAAGAGATTTAATAACTCATTAACCAACAAAAGTAAAAATGAGACTAAATGTGTTCTAAGGTTGTCTTGAGGTTTGCCTGATTTCACATGCTTATTTATAAGATTTCCACTTGTTCCTTGAATTTTAGTTAAGATTGAGAAGACCCAGAGAGAAAATAAACTATTCTACAGAGGTGTTACAATTCTCATTTTTAGGTTTGATTTCAAAGATGAGTTATGATGAAAACTGACATAGAAAAGTAAGAGTGGTAGTATTCAGGTGATTGATACAGAATTAGTGAAAATGATTTTGCTGAGTTATTCACTGCAGTATTTTTTTTTTTTAGACAGAGTCTCACTTTGTTGCCTAGGCTAGAGTGAGTGCCGTGGCGTCAGCCTGGCTCACAGCAACCTCAATCTCCGGGGCTCAGCGATCCTCCTGCCTCAGCCTCCCAAGTAGCTGGGACTACAGGCATGTGCCACCATGCCTGGCTAATTTTTTGTATATATATTTTTAGTTGGTCAATTAATTTATTTCTATTTTTGGTAGAGACGGGGTCTCGCTCAGGCTGGTTTCGAACTCCTGACCTTGAGCAATCCGCCCGCCTCGGCCTCCCAAAGTGCTAGGATTACAAGCGTGAGCCACCACGCCTGGCCTTCACTGCAGTATTTTAATTTGCCTTTCCCTTTGCAGTTATTACTAATGGGTTTTAAAAAGTAGTGTGTGCATGTACTGTGTATGTATACGGGGTTAATTAAGTTGCAGGACTGTTGCTAATAATATATAAATATTTATATATATAAATATATAGAACGCTTTATATATATAAATATTTATATATTTCAATTCCTAAGGAGACTATTTCAAATGTTCTAAATCAAAAGTAATTTCAAACCAAATCTTCAATATCATGTGGATAAATATATTTTTATTAAATATCAAAATATTTAATCAAATATTTTGCTCCATATCATCCCTGGAGTTTAAGTTATAGACTTTCATGAAAAACATTCAAAACAAATTTAAAAATTCAAGCAATTAAGAAAACAACTTTGCAATTCACAATTTTTTATGTGTGAAGGAAAAACTTTTTGAATTTGTGTTTATAATTATTTATTTTCTTCTTCACTCCTTGCTTTGTTTTTTTTGAGACTAGCAGATGAATTTAATTTGAATTAAATCTGTAGCATTTTGAAATTCTTTAAAAATGGTGAGTAGAACAGTGACAAATAAATTATATTTTAAATGTAGATAAACTACCTGGAATGTGTTTCTAAAGATAAGCTAAAACTGGTTTAAGGTAAATTCAGTTTCCATGATTTTCTAATATAATTTAAACACTTGAAGGACAGCAGTTTGGATGAAGTTATGTTGTGAGAAAAGAATTTTTGACATTTATTGAAACAAAAACTTGAAGGAGTTGGTTAGAGAGCACTAATATTTGTAGATTGCATTTTCTGCTGTATCTATTTGTACATTCATGAAAGTACGCACTGAAATAAACCATATACTCTATTTTCTGTAGGTGGCCTTTTCACTTTGTGAAATTATTCATACCTTTTTTTGTCTCTAACCTCAGCCCAACTTTCTCCTGCTAGAGAGTAAATAATCTGCTAGCTTCTCTGGACATCAGCTGACACTAAACATAAGAGGGAAAGCAAATAATTTTTAACATAAAATTTTCCAAAATAATAGAAAAGATTTTGAAATAATCTACATTAATGTTCCTGTTCTTTCACTATGAATTACAGAGAATTGATAGTTGATACAAATGGAAGGTTACATCATGAATAGCAAGAAAAATGTTTTAATGGTAATCTAAACTTGCACATCTATTATTTTATTTTATTTTTGTGCTATACTAGAGAGAGCAGTAGGACAGGTCACTTAAACTCACTCCAGCTGTGACTCCGACCCTGTCATGGCGTCCTTTAGAATTCCCCTCTGACACCCATTTTCACCCCTGCTTCTCCTTTCCAGGGTGTTTTGAATCTTACAGTTTTTAAGGTGGATAAGGCCATATCATAGTACATTCTGTTCTAGGAGAATATTGGGGCTTACACAATCATTTTAAATGTACATTAAAATAATCTGTTAAGTTTTAGAGAAAATGTATAATCCTTAATATATTTGTCATTTTAGATTCATTCTCTTAAAGCTGTTCATTCTTTGGTATTGAGGTAACACCAAAATGAATTATAATTTTATTTAAGCCTATGATTTTCTAACAGACCATTAGAGGTGTTTTATTTCATTATACCTCTAGTCTCTTATACTCATCTATAAAAAGAAGATAAACCTGCTTCTAGTTATTTATCTGATCATTGAAAAGATTTATATATTTGTGTCTGCCTGAGGCTCTTTTTTAAAAAAAGAACCTCTGCCTGTCCTTTTTAAAAATCAAAGGCAAAAATCAAAAGAAAATAACATTAATAATAATTAGGAGGTTGATTGGGTAGCATTGCTTTAAGATTACTTAGAAAGACAAAATATGGAATGCATAACAAAAATTTAGTTTTACTATTTAAGATAAGCAGAG